AAGTATATATTTTTAAATACTACAGGATTACGAAGAAACAAAGACGACCTATGATTGTAAATACACATATGAGTTTGTGAGTTGGGTTTAACACCGCTTTTAACATTATTCCAGTTATATTACGGCTTGTCAGCTTCATGTGGGAGGAAAGCCCGATGTGATGCAGGCCTCAGACATTTACCACTTTGGTGAAACCCACAAGCACAGGTATGGTGCTGACAAACCTAGAAACATAATCGGGGCGAACCGGGATTCGAATCCACAATCATAGGTTTCTGGCGTGCCCAAGGGACGCAACTCTACACAGCGAATTGCGGCGCTTTAGACGACTGGGCCACCCCTTCCCCCTACACATATGAAGTACGAAGAACGTTGTTCATGTTGCATGCTCAGAAATGGGCGACCTGTGGGTAGATTACTATGCAGATAAGAACTAACGGAAAAACTAACTATGTTTCGTATAAGGTGGTGTAAATGTTATGTTATTGAAAATAACAACATAATAACAGAGTTCACTATAGGAATTTTCTGACATGGGATCTTTATGTGAAATTTTCAAAAACTCCACATGTACACCCATACTTGCCACTTCAACACAATCTTAAATGCCCCATTGTATTAAAAAATGTGGGCCTTTTTCAATTTTTTGGGCTAAAAGCACAAGGCCCCATCCTAGAATTTTCGGACCGCCTCCGTGGTCTAGTGGTAGAGCGTCCGCCCGGAGAGCGGAAGGTCCGGGGTTAGATCCCCGGCCGCGTCATACCAAAAGACGTTAAAAGATGGTACTTGTTGTTACCCTGTCTGGCGCTCGGCATTTAGGGGCTTAAACAAGGACTGGTCGGCTCGGAGTCAGTATACTGTGTCTGAGTGGGGTATTCATGTTAAACTGCGGCATAGTATCTCAGTGAGCTAGCACTATAAATCGGCATCAGTCCGGACTAGTAGAAGCAGCCACACAAACACACACACACGTACATGCACGTCGCTATATAAGTGCAATAATCTTTGACGCGACGTTAAACCCCATTTCACCTCACCTCACCTCACCTAGAATTTTCCCTGATAATATATGAGCATTCGTGTACAAAGTTTTATCATAACAAATTCATTGACAAAAACCCATGCCATGCTACAGGAGTCAGAGTGACACGCCCTAATATAAAAGAGGGGTGGTGTAACAACTCGATTATCAATAATACTTTCTACGTAAATGATACTATTCCCGTCTATGTAGACGATCTTTTCATATGCGTACATATGTGTGATATTATAACCGAGCGTTTCCTTAACCAGACAGTCCTATTGTCGTGTAAAGTTAAGATCCAGGCTTGATAGGGGGACAAAGGTGGCCCAGTCGTCTAAGACGCAGCGATTCGCTGTGTAGAGTTCCGTCCCTTGGGTACGCCAGAAACCTATGATTGTGGGTTCGAATCCCGGTTCGCCCCGATTATGTTTCTAGGTTGGTCAGCACCTAAGACGGATGTAGACATGTGCAAACTAAAACGACAGAAAGAAATCTTAAAATGCGAAAATCGTCAGGACTGGGCCAAACAAACATTTTTTAAGTCGCTGATGTTAATATGATGGTACGTGTTTGCGAAATCACCGTGCTGTTAAGAGCTTGGTCAAAGAATCTAAATATTTAAAGGAAACAAAAACGATAGATCGAATCCTGCAAAGTACAGAGGTATCACTCTGGCGTCTATGGTGGGAAAACTGTTTGAGCCAGAATTGAGCGGTACATCACATATTTGAGTGAGTGAGTGAGTTGGGTTTAACGCCGCTTTTAACAGTATTACAGTTATATCACGGCGTGTCAGCTTAATGTGGGAGGAAAGCCCGAAGTGATGCAGGTCTCAGACGTTTACCACTTCGGTGAAACCCACGAGCACGGATATGGTGCTGACAAACCTAGAAACATAATCGGGGCGAACCGGGACTCGAACCCACAATCATAGGTTTCTGGCGTGACCAAGGGACGTTACTCTGCACAGCGAATCGCGGCGCCCTAGACGACTGGACCACCCGTGACCCCTCACATATACGAAGCCCGATAGACCAAACTGTGACTCAGGTGGGATGATGGTCCAAACACTCCTGTATACTCAAGGAATACATATGTTGTGTGTGCAGGGGAAAGCCTAGCATATTGTACGTCAGCCGTCCCACGAATATTCTGCTTGCGTCTGTATACTGGGGAGGCAAGTCGAATGTGTCAAATCAGACAAGGTGTAGGACAAGGATGCGTCTTATCTGCGTGGATGTTTCTTGTGTACGTTAACGAGCCTATATGCCACCGTGATGACTTACCTGTAAGGCAAGGCGTTATGATTGATATACGACCCTCATAAACTCACCAAAAGTTGGTCTCTGCGTGTACATGCAAATTGACCATCAACATCCTTGCCTATGAAGACTGACATAAAATGTAAGCAAAGACTTTGAGTGCTAAAGGTGGTAATAAAACAACGAATCATGTTCTCAGACAAGGTATAACCAGATACTGGACATTGAATCGATCCCTTATCAGTAATCTATTCATTTGAAAGCCGAGAAATTCCCTGTGAGTCATTGGACTTAGGGCAGGTGGGCTGAAACCACGTCCGTTGTGTGAACATGGTTATTTTACTCTGTTGTCTTGTTCACATGGTTACAATGATGTTGTTTAGGCATGATTACTGTTGTCATGTTTACATGGTTACAACGTTGGTCTGTTCACATGGTTTCGGTGTCGTTGTGGATACATGGTTACTCGATTACCCTGCTTACATTGTAACAACGTTGTAATGTTTACATTGTACCAACGATGTCATGTTTACATGGCTACGATGTCGTTGTGGATACATGGTTGCTGAGTTGTCCTGCTTATATTGTAACAACGTTGTAATGTTTACATTGTAACAACGATGTCATGTTTACATGGCTACGATGTCGTCGGGGATACATGGTTACTGAGTTGTCCTGCTTATATTGTAACAACGTTGTCGTGTTTACATGGTTACAACGTTGGTCTGTTTACATGGTTACGGTGTCGTTGTGGATACATAGTTATTCGATTGCCCTGCTTACATTGTAACAACTTTGTTATGTTTACATTGTAACAACGTTGTCATGTTTACATTGTAACAACGTTGTCATGTTTACATTGTAACAACGTTGTCATGTTTACACGGCTACGGTGTCGTCGGGGATACATGGTTGCTGGGTTGTCCTGCTTATATTGTAACAACGTTGTCGTGTTTACATTGTAACAACGTTGTCGTGTTTACAGTGTGACAACGTTGTCGTGTTTACATTGTAACAACGTTGTCATGTTTACATTGTAACAACGTTGTCATGTTTACATGGTTACAGTGTTGTTGTGGATAAATGGTTACACTTTTGTCCTGTTCACATTGTTACAACGTTGTCATGTTTACATTGTAACAACATTGTCAAGTTTAAATTATAACAACGTTGTCATGTTTACATTTTTACTGTTCAAACTCACTCACTCAAAATGTTGAACAAATTCTTTTCAACATCAAGACGTTTCATCAAGTATCATTAACCGGTGAAGATCCGGGTTAGATCCGGGCCTTAAACCGCTGGTGCCCGTGTTATTTTTCTGACGCACATTTTCATATTAAGATCTGAAAAGTGAAGGTTGAGCGAAAGTTACGCTCTTGCGGCACTGGATCAACCCCCGGCTATAAAATGAGACAGAGATGAAGAGATTTCAATTTCGTATCTGATGGTTTTAATTTTACTGCAAATATTAAACTGGTTTGTCATAAGAGGCAACTAACGGGATCGGGTAGTCAAGACTCGCTGACTTGGTTGATGCATGGCATCGTATCTCAGTTGCGTAGATCGACGCTCATGATATCAATCACTGGATTGTCCGATCCAGACTTAATTATGAGCAGACCGCCGTCATATAATTTAGTTGGAATATTGTCGAGTCCGGCATTAAAGTTACAAACAAAACAAAATCAAGTACAATAGCTTTCGAGAAAGGTGTGGCACAAAAAACAAAGAAACCACTTTTCATAATAAAATAGTTTGAAGGGGCCACTATTTACTATTTAAAAAAACCAAAAACAAAACAAGTTTACATCTATTCACGAAAGCGTAGATCGTAGAGCGGTGATTCCTTTACTGATGCTCGTATGTGGCATTTAAGATTTGACCGCAAAGAAACATTAGCATTAATGAAACATTAATAGATGTACATCACTACATAGATAAGAAGAAACGGTCAATGTGTCTTGGAACCTCGTTGTCCATAACTTCCTTTCGCTATCATCCATCTTATTTCAGTCTGTGTATGTTTCATCGTGTAATTGTATTGTGTATATGTGTCTATGGAGAGGTAACTTGTAATTTCAAAGACATTGTAAACAGTATCGTTGGAAACGGAGACTGCGGTATGTTATTACGGCAATTAACTGGTAGATATATTTTTATAAAAAACTTGAGTGAGCAGACAAAAGAGATATCAGTCAATTTGCTAGGACTGTCAATATGCCCAGGTCTAACCCCTTTAAAGTCTCATTTCATGTTGAATACTCTTAAAGGAAACTCAAATTACAGTCGAACCCAGTGTCTCCAACTCCAGGGGACCAGAGAAATAGTTCTACTTATCCGGGTGTCGACACATCCGACTCAACCCTCTAGACAACTGAAAGCTGACGTTTATTATTCTATAAAAATAATATTTATATAAGAAATAAAAAACATAAGAACATCTACAGGTGTATCTTGACCTAGGTTATGTATTTAAAAATAATCGGTTCGTTCTATCTATTTTAACTTTTGAGACTATAAATTGAGTTCGAGACCCAGGAACTCGACATCCGGGTTCCAATAATGATAAATACAGTCAGAGTTGGCCGGAACCAGTCTGTGAGTTCAACAAAACCGGGGATTCCACACATCCGAGTTCGAGACAATTAGTAGATTCATCCGTAAAGTAAATACCAGATCTGCCTCATTGTGATTCATTTAAAAAAAACACATCTGTTTTACGGTTTTATTCATGTAAACATACTAAAACATCACAAGCCCAAAATTTGAGTTTTTCTTTGAGTTTAAGTGTACCACGTCACGATGACGTCATCATTATGCGTCTACTCTACTGTGTAGCCTGGGGGGTAGCTAATGGTATATCCGGGGGGACAGGTGGGAGTCTTGCAGCATTTCCCGGGAGCAGGTTCGTGGATGGTACACGCCGCTGGGAGGGACCAGGCGATACACCTGTGAGAGAAATATGGGGTGAGCTTAAAATAGTCACAGTTGGAGCAAATATTTTATCCTGTACATACAGTTTGTTTGAAACAGATGACTACATGAAACTAACATTACATATTTTGCTCTTTACATTCAAGGCTAAAATCATCTTCCCGAGGCTAGGGAGTTAACTGACAATAAAAGTCTCGTTTCCACCCTTGCTGAACTAGACTGGAATTATTGAATTATTTTGTCTGGACTAACGAGTCTATGCATAGTCCAATCAAATTCTAGTTACGAAATCGACATCCTGTTCGTAAACATATGGTGACTGCCGTGCAGATTTCGGTCGATAGCAGGATTTGCAAAGCTTGCGTACCGACAACTGGGCGTCGACTGATATTTTTCAAAATATGTTCATTTTTAAATCAAGGTGCTCAAGTGGTGTGATACTATCCACATGCGTGGGTTTCTGCGAGGCAGGGAATGTGAAACGCTGCCATTTTGTTTGAAGCAAATGCACGAAATATGAGAAGTGGAATCTGATTGGTCAGTGGGAGGGACATAGAAGGGAAATAACTCGTAATAGCCACTGATGGCGCTTCGATCGAGCAACGAAATTCCAGCCCTGTTCGGTAAGCCTAGATCGACTTTTACAGTCAGTTAAGTTCCTTGCCTCAGGGCTAAACTACGAAAACTATTGTCCCAATAAAGAATAACCGGAAATATTTCCGAAACAACAAATTATTTCCGTAATAATGAAATGTGAAATACATTCCGTTATCTCACACACACACACACACACACACACACACACACACACACACACACACACACACACACACACACACACACACTAATCAAGAGCAAACATAATTCGTTGAAGAGTGGAAGATGTTAAGTCCTCTTCCTTCTTCTTAAGAAGTGGAATACTGAGCTGGTGAAAGTGTTCGCTTCAACCATGGTTTAATTCCAAGATGGCCACGATGCATAGTGTCTATCTACGTGATATTTCTACAAGTAAAAACCTTCCTACTAATCCACTCTGGGGCGATCGGGTAGCCCAGTGGTTAAAGCGTTCGCTCGTCACGCCGAATACCCGGGTTCGATTTCCGACATAGGTACAATGTGTGAAGCTCTTTCTGGTGTCCCCCGCAGTGGTGTTGCTGGAAATTGTGCTAAAAGCGGCGTTAAACCATACTCACTCACTCACTAATCCACTCACACATGCACTCATTCGCTCTCGTTTTCCACTAATCCACTCTCGTTTTCCACTAGTCCACTCTCGTTTTCCACTAATCCACTCTCGTTTCCTCACTCAACCACACACTCACAAACTCACTGGCTCACACAGTGGCTCCATTTTGAAGAACTTGCGTGTTATCGCCTGAAGAATCTAACTGGCCAAAATACAGTTTAAATATTGTGCACTCGTATTAACTCTACGAGTGTGGTCGATGATGGACATACCTCTGTCGGCACTGGTATCGAGAGGCGGCGGCGTCAGTGCAGGTGCAGGTGTAGTCACAGCCGTCGTTCCACGTCATACCCTGTTGGTACGACTTGCCCTTGTAGAGACACGTACCACCTGAGGAACAACTCAATGTATAGCATGTCTCATAATGGTGTTACTTCAAATAATTTCAACCAGTCAGTTTCGACGAAAACTATAAAAAAAGAGATGACTTTCTAACTAGGGTTTCACAAAATCTTGGGTGTTACGTCGCTTGCCTATCCGACCCGTGAAGATCCGGGGTAGAATAGGTCTTCAGCAACCCATGCTTGCCCTAAAAGGCGACTATGCTTGTCGTAAGAGGCGACTAACGGGATCGGGTGGTCAGGCTCGCTGACTTGGTTGATGCATGTCATCGATCACAATTACGTGGATGCATGCTCATGATGTCAATCATTGGATTGTCTTGTCCAGACTCGATTATTTACAGACCGCCGTCATTTAGCTGGAATACTGCTGAGAGCGGTGTTAAACAACAAACAAACAAACAAAGCCTATATTCCAGAAATATCACGCCTGGGGTCACCAGAAATGGACCACGCAGGGAATCAACCAGGGTATTCGATGGACAAGCGATCGCTTCAACCACTGGGCTACCCCATCGTCCCTTAGCGTGTCGATGTTAATTATAAAACGTCAATGCCAGAAAATAACCAGTCTCGATTATCAACTAAAACAGCTCATTGGGAGTAAAAGGCAATAATTATTATGATTTGAAAAAATTTAATCGATTACTGAAAATTTGTAATGACACCAGGAGTTCGCGGAAAGGTTAAACATGTCCGTCGCCACCAGTAGCACCTGCCACTCACAATTTGCATAAAAAAGTAAATTTTTGTTGCCTGCAAATGTATGGTTGCAGTGAACTGTCATGAAGAGTCATACACCATTTGATTGTACAGTGATGCAAAAGATGGGGTAATTGTAATGTAGCGCCATTAGTATTCCCTTGGCAGTGATGTGATGTGACTATCATGAGGGCCTGGGTACATTACAGCGTGTCTAGACCTACCAGTGTTGGTCCCGGTGCCGGTGCCGGTGCCAGAGCCTGGACATACGGGGGTCTCGCAACAGGATCCGGCTAATTTCTGGAGCGTGCATCCGGCAGGTAGATTGGGGAACGTTTGGCAGCTGGAACATGTATAGTGTGAATCTGTCAATTCTGTTTGTGTGAAACTGTTTATTATTGTATTCACAAATGTACCCTAACAATGTATTTTCGCATTGCACGAAACAGGTGTCCGTTTGACGGTCGAGTAAACTCACATTTCCGGGCCCTTGACCTTGCCACGCTGAGGTACGTTTTTGTATTCCGATTTGGTTAGGGTACATATGTGTATACCTGGAGGTACATTTGTGTAGTATCAGTTCCGACAACAACGAACCAAACAGCTTAGTACAGAGAATGGTCATTCACCTCATGATGGAATTTGACAGAAATTGTATCTACATTTACAACTGACTGTTCATCTGTATCAACACCTACCCTGAGACGCATTTGTAGTATCCGGTCTGTCCGTTGACACAGGAACAGTTATACTGACATCCGTCTTGCCACTCCTCGCCCGTTTTGTACACACGGCCTTTGTAGTAACATCCAGCATCTGTCACACAATACACTCATGCTTTTACTGTTATACAATTCTACATTTACCGTTATACAATGATACATTCACCGTTATACACAAGGACATTTACAACCCGAACGCACATCAGTTCAAAGTACCGTATATATCAAAATTATATCATTAAGAGTTAACAAAGTGATATTTCGGTGATATTTTTTTTTTTTTTTAACCGTAAAAAGTGACGTAACATCCAAAGTTCCCATTGATAAAGAATTCGTGGGCTCCGCCATCTTCATGGAAGAGCGACGCGTGAAGTTCCGGGGTAGAATAGGTCTTCAGCAACCCATGCTTGCCCTAAAAGGCGACTATGCTTGTCGTTAGAGGCGACTAACGGGATCGGGTAGTCAGACTCACTGACTTGGTTGATGCATGTCATCATATACCAATTGCGTGGATCGATGCTCATGATGTCAATCACTGGATTGTCTGGTCCAGTCTCGATTATTTACAGACCGCCGTCATATAGCTGGAATATTGCTGAGTGCGGCGTTAAACAACAAACAAAGAAACAAACAAAATCATGGTCGAGCATAAAGTGCGCATGCATATCGTTACGCGGGAAAGTGGCCGTCCATCCAACTTTTTCAATCAGAGGGGTTTATTGTGATTTAATAGCCTCTGACTGAATCAGAAACGAGTAATTTCCTAATTCATAGTAGAATCCTTATTGTAACATGAATTTGGAAGTGTCTTGATCGTTACGAAGAAATTTAGCCATGAAAAGAACTAAACATTGTCCAAGAATCAGGCCTGATTTTTGGGGCCATTGACTTACTGAAGCCGGTGATGGCGTTCATGGGGTACTCCGTGACGAACATGGGGTTATTGGTGCCGCTCCCCGAGATGCCGCCGCCATTACCCCCCATGGTTACTGTTCCTTGGGTGCCCTGGGGGACCTTTCCAACTTGGTCTACACATGGAGAAACATTGGGTTACAACTTCGTGCGCCTATTATTCAAACTTGGTAAGAGTTAGAGACGAGACTTCAATAGGATACGAACATGTCGGATAGTGAAGTTTGTGGTCTAGTATTATACGTAAATGTCATTTAACGTACATATCATCATATACATATTTTTTAAATTTATCTTTTTTTTACACAAATTATTAGTATTACTATTAACGAGAACATTTTCACATCGTCACAGAGTTGATTATGTCCAATGTGCTCCTGCCGTGCACTTACCACACAGGCCGCAGAACTTGGGGCAGTTGTTGATGGCCCACGAGACGTAGGGGTCGTGGCAGGCAGCCTGGGAATACTGGGCGCAGGTGGCGAGGGTGTCGCTGCAGCCGGTGTGAGACCCTACAGGCAGGGGAGAGTGGGTGAGTGTGTGAGTGAGTGAGGTTGGCTTAACGCCCTTTGAATAGTATTTGAGATACAGTAAAGTACGGTTATAACGAACTCAAAGGGACTACTAAATTAAGTTCGTTATAACCGTAGTTCGTTATAAGCATATATACAGCATGATTACAGCAAATAGTCGTTATATCCGTCAGTTCGTTATAAGCGTGTTCGTTATAACCGTAGTTTGGGTAAACATGTGGTCGTAGAGCACATGCATTGTGTTGTGTAGCAGGATCAGAATAAGGGGGGAGATCTGGGATTCGAACCCCGATCAAAAGATCCTGACACGACAAAGGGACTCAACTCTTAACAGTTAATTACATTTAATTCCTGCCCTCACAGAATATATTAACAATTGTATAGCAGCAATGCAAAAGGTTTGGCAGTTTATGTAAGAGCGTAGCTCATGAATAGCATGGGTATTGAAACAGAATTGTCAATCATGATGCTTATAATTGATAACCTAAAACCATTTATTCCATTATCAGGAACTTATGGACATCTGATACTTATGATTCAAGTGTGGCACTCTTTGGTGTGCCTCTTCCTCGATGTTACCGCTTTAATTAAATCGTTACGGACCAGTGAACATCCGGGGTAGAATAGATCTTCAGCAACCCATGCTTGCCCTAAAAGGCGACTATGCTTGTCGTAAGAGGCGACTAACGGGATCGGATGGTCAGGCTCGCTGACTTGGTTGATGCATGTCATCGTATCCTAATTACGTGGATCGATGCTCATGATGTCAATCACTGAATTGTCTGGTCCAGACTCGATTATTTATAGACCACCGTCATACAGCTGGAACATAGCTTCACCCACCTCCAGTTTGAACGGGGGCGGCGCTGCCGTACACGATGATGTTGGATCTTGGGGTAGTCACTGGACCTGTAACAGACAGTAGTCAGTAGAACACTGTTCCTCTACGTGGAACACATCGTCAGATCATTCATGTTTTCTTGATGAAAGAATACATGCGCACAATTCCACACTGATGTTCTTGTGAATATAGTGTTAACCGTGATATTCAAGGCGATTCTACGTATATCGGTTTATTTAATTTCGTTTCCATGGAACCTAGGTCGATGATCAGCAATTGACCATGGTCCATGAAATTGTTCCTCATTCCGAATGTTTCTAGACTTTATATGTGTCATGCAGCAAACAATTCCTATACTCAAGACCCCTGAACATCCGGGTTAGAATATGTCTTCAGCAACCCATGCTTGCCTTAAGAGGCAACTAACTAACTAAAGGCGATTAACGGGATCGGGTGGTCAGACTCGCTGACTTGGCCGATGCATGTCATCGTATCCCAATTACGTCGATCGATGCTCATGATGTCATTCACAGGTCCAGACTCAATTATTTATTATGTGGCAGGAATATTGCTGAGTGCGGCGTTCAACAACAAACAGACAAATACATACGTTACTGAAATAACTTAAATACATTCTTTTGCAATTCGTTTGAGGTAAGCATTATTTCGGTCATAAATTGACTGGACTAAACCGGGCTACCTATGGACGTCAATCGGGTCCGCTCGGCCTATTCCGCCAACTAATACCTCGGACAGTAATGGCGTAGTAATGGCGTAGTGATACTGCATGAATTCACTCAAACTGGGTTACGACAGTTCCCGTCGCATATAGTTCTTGTAACATGTGTGCGTGTGTGTGTATGGCTGGACTAATGCCGATTTATAGTGCTAGCCCACTGAGATACCATGCCGCAGTTTAACATGAATACCCCACTCAGACACAGTATACTGACTCCGAGCCGACCAGTCCTTGCTTTAGCCCCTTAATGCCAAGTGCCAGGCAGGGTAACAACAAATACCATATGTTAACGTCTTTTGGTATGACGCGGCCGGGGATCGAACCCACAACCGCTCTTCGGACTGACGCTTTATCAACTAGACAACTGAAATCCATATCGTACTTCCGATTTTTCGCTCCTGGCAGACGCTCTACCACAAGACCACGGTCTCCGTGTTAACAAAGGGACATTACTCCGGCCCATAAATCGTCAACCTGGAATTTGTTAATCCTAACTATGTACTGGAATTACGTGCGGATAGTTTCAGTGAGAGGAGTTTACCTGCTCCGCCGCCGCAGTAGCCGCAGTATTTGGGACAGTTGAACTTGGCCCAGGAGGCATACTCCCCAACACAGTTGTCCTTGGGGTACTCGTTGCAGTTGGGGATCTCGTCCTTACAGCTGAGGGGGTTCGGGGACGTCTTTGTGCCTGTCATATACATAAAATATATATAATGGCTATTGCTATTGCGATAAACCAATCCAATAAACTTGGTATCACGATCCGATAAATATTCAAATGAGGTTAACTAGCGGGAACTTCTTTTAATCTCCATACATAAATTCAATATCTTTCCTAATTTATTATTTACAAAATGCGTCCCCCACCCCAAATTAATAAATTAAAAAAAAAAAAAAAAAAAAAAAAAAAAATAATAATAATAAATTAAAAAAAATAAAAAAAATAAAAAAATAAATAAATAAATAAATAAATAAATAAATAAATAAATAAATAGAAATTAGGGGTTTTCCGATATATGGCACCATGTGAAGCACATATGACTCGAATCACAGTAAAAAAAGTGTAGGTTTCCGTCTTCCGGTTACCTTCCCATTTTGGATCCGGCCCGGAAACCTTCCGGAAACCTTCCAGATACCTTCAGCAACCTTACATTTTCTTGGTTATTTTCAAATATTGTTTTATGTGTTTCACACTTAATTGAACAAAATGCTACCCCCAAATTTTGACATTTTTTTAAAGGTTTCCGGAAGGTATCCGGGCCGGCTCTAAAGTGGGAAAGCATCCGGAAGGTTTCCGGAAGACGGAAGCCTACACTTTTTTGCTGTGAGTGAGAGAGTCTGTATGGATTTACGCTGCTTTCAGCAATATTCCAGCAATATCACGGCGGGGGGACACCAAAAATGGGCTTCACACAGTGTGCCAATGTGGAGAATCGACCCCGGGCCTTCGGCGTGACGAGCGAACACTTTAACCAGTGGACAAACACACCGCACATTTATGACTGGGATTCGTCCCTGATTTACATAATATGCACGATTACTGCAAAGATACCTTTTTAAAAGAAATTTATAAAACAGTTTTCGTCATCTTTGCCTACATTAATTTGTTTTGATATTCAAAAAAGGATCAGGCAACGATTAATACACGTTTCATATGGAAGAATGTTTCTCCTACAGCAGAAGCGACCATGCTTGAGTAAAAGGCAACTAACGGGATCTTACCGCAGAAACCGCAGAACTTGGCACAGTTGGTCTTTGCCCAGGCTGTGTAGGGGTCGCGGCAGGAATAGTCACCGTACAGGTAGCAGTCTGCCTTCTTGTCCACACAACCCCCCTGGGAGGGCGGGGCACATTCAGCCTTCTGGCAGCATCTGTCGTTGACATCTGGGATGAGGACGCAGCCGGCGGGGAGAGAGGCATAACGCTGGCACCTGAAGGAGAAACATGGAAGTGGTGAAGTTAAAGAAGTACGTATATCCCCTGGAACTATAGATAACTTCCGAATATAACCAACCCTTGTAGAATTTAAATAACCGAGCTGGCAACACGATCTGGAAAAGTATTGGCCTCTAACAGAGTTATATCCCTTTGGCGTGTTTGGGTTCGGAGATAGTGGATGTAAATCTGGTAACCTGCTGGATTATAATTCCTTGTTTGTTGGTTGGTTTGTTTGTTTAACGCCACACTCAGCAATATTCCAGCTATATGACGACGGTCTGTTAATAATCGAGTCTGGACCAGACAACCCAGTGATTGACATCATGAGCATCGATCCACGCAATTGAGATATGATGACATTCATCAACCAAGTCAGCGAGCCTGACCACCCGATCCCGTTAGTCGTCTCTTACGACAAGCACAGTCGCCTTTTATGGCAAGTATGGGTTGCCGAAGACCTGTTCTATCCCGGATCTTCCCGGATGTATATAAGTTCTAGTCTGTCAGCATAATAACACCTGTCTATGTTGTTAAATAGATATAAACGTTAACTTGCGTCACGTCAGTGAGTGAGTGAGTTTGGTTTAACGCCGCTTTAAACAGTATTTCAGTTATATCACTGAGTGTCAGCTTAATACAGTAAACCCGAAGTGATGCATGTCTCAGACGTTTACCGGTTATGTGAAACCCACGAGCAGGGATATGGTGCTGCCAAACCTAGAAACATATTTGGGGCGAACCGGGGTTCGAACCCACACTCATAGGTTGAAATCCGACTAATACAGTATTATATGATTGGTAGATTACTGACGCCTGGCATTTATATCTGTTGTGTATTAAAATGGTCTTTCCACAACGACGATGATTCACCAACATTTAGGCTTTTAACTATGGCAATGTCCGATAGGGTGACGTGATCAAATAACGTCAGTAAGGGCGGGGTCAGCCGGACGTCAAGACATGGTATAAAACAAATATATCGTGGTCAAATATATTAATGTCCGGAAAACGTTATATTGAAGTAAATAGTCTAAATAAAGCCTCGACTTGATCGAATACTTTTAATATGATTTTGTGTTTTGAATCAATGTTGTTTAACGCCGCAAAACATATACCAGCGGTAAATACATGGCTCTAGGAAATAGAATCCATTCGTTGATAATTTGAGCAACGTCACACGCAGTCTGAGTACGACGGCACGCAAGCAACCAGGGCCCCGTTCCACAAAACGATCTTAGCGTTACGATGATCGTAACTCCCATACTTTAACATGGAATTACGACAGTTGTAGAGCTAAGATGATCGTCACTCCCATACTGTAACATAGGATTATGACAGTCGTAGCGTTACGATGATCGTAACTCCCATACTTTAACATAGGATTATGACAACCGTAGAGCTAAGATGATCGTAACTCCCATACTTTAACATAGGATTATGACAGTCGTAGAGCTAAGATGATCGTAACTCCCATACTTTAACATAGGATTATGACAGTCGTAGAGCTAAGATGATCGTAACTCCCATACTTTAACATAGGATTATGACAGTCGTAGAGCTAAGATGATCGTAACTCCCATACTTTAACATGGAATTACGACAGTCGTAGCGCTAAGATGATCGTAGCTCCCATACTGTAACATAGGATTATGACAGTCGTAGAGCTAAGATGATCGTAATTCGAATGCTTTAACATGGAATTACGACAGTCGTAGCGCTAAGATGATCGTCACTCCCATACTGTAACATAGGATTATGACAGTCGTAGCGTTACGATGATCGTAACTCCCATACTTTAACATAGGATTATGAAAACCGTAGAGCTAAGATGATCGTAGCTCCCATACTTTAACATAGGATTATGACAGTCGTAGAGCTAAGATGATCGTAACTCCCATACTTTAACATAGGATTATGACAGTCGTAGAGCTAAGATGATCGTAACTCCCATACTTTAACATAGGATTATGACAGTCGTAGCGTTACGATGATCGTAGCTCCCATACTGTAACATAGGATTATGACAGTCGTAGCGCTAAGATGATCGTAACTCCTATACTGTAACATAGGAATACGACAGTTGTAGAGCTAAGATGATCGTAACTCCCATACTGTAACATAGGATTATGACAGTTGCAGCGCTAAGATGATCGTCACTCCCATACTGTAACATAGGATTACGACAGTTGTAGAGCTAAGATGATCGTAACTCCCATACTTTAACATAGGATTATGACAGTTGTAGCGCTAAGATGATCGTTACTCCCATACTGTAACATGGAATAACGAGTGTTGTAGCGCTAAGATGATCGTAACTCCCATACTGTAACATAGGATTATGACAGTTGTAGCGCTAAGATGATCGTTACTCCTATACTTTAACATGGAATTACGACAGTTGAAGCGCTAAGATGATCGTAACTCGAATGCTTTAATATATGATTACGACAGTCGTACCGCTAAGATCGCTTTGTGGAACGGGGCTCTGATCTTAACGGGTACCACGAAGGATCGTGTGCCTACCTGTCGGTACACCTGTACTTGCCGGACTTGGCGTCGAGACACTCACAGTCCAGACTGCAACCGTCCTGCCAGGTGTCTCCCTGACTGTGGATCTGGCCCTTGTAGATGCACGCATCTGAACGTACGAAGAGCAAGGTAAAGGATCGTCCTCGTGAACTTTCAATCACAGTGAATGCAGATAAAAACCTTATACCAGCTTCATGAGCATTCAGTTGAAACATGTCAATAGGGTCATTTATATTAGGTACTGAGGATAAGAGTGAGTGAGCGAGTGAATATGGTTTTACGCTGCTTTTAGCAATATTCCAGCAATATCGCGGCGGGGGACACCAAAAGTTGGCTTCACAAATTGTACCCATTTCGGGAATCGAACCCGGGTCTTCGGCGTGACGAGCGAACGCTTTAACCACTAGGCTACCCGACCGCCCCCTGAGGACAAGATGATATCTAATGACTATAAACCGGATTGCATGTTCACATAACACACAATATGACATAACTCGAAACTCGACATAAAATGTTGAGTAAAAAAAAACTATGTTAAACGGAGAAAGGTAAGGATATAACTAACTTACACCTCACTCTTGGCGAGTAAACATGTATTTATATATCTGTTTCACTTTAATGTCATATCACAATTGACAAAAGTGACTGAAACGGAAATAAAATATTTACACATTTCCCTCAATACATAAGCATAAATAAGTTTCCAATTTTCCTTCCTCCACGTGGCCCCGGCGAGGAGATTGTTTCACTCATTCCGGGGCACAACTTTATCCATTAAGCCCCGGGTCAAAGCTTCATCCACTCCGCCCGGGTCAAAGCTTCATCCACTCCGCCCAGGTCAAGGCTTCATCCACTATGCCCGGGTCACAGCTTCATCCACTCTGCCCGGGTCACAGCTTCATCCACTCCGCCCAGGTCAAGGCTTCATCCATATAGCCCTAGGTCATCCATTTAGCCACGGGGCACAGCTTCATCCACTCCGCCAAGGTCAAGGCTTCATCCATATAGCCCTAGGTCATCCATTTAGCCACGGGGCACAGCTTCATCCACTCCGCCCAGGTCACAGCTTCATCCACTCCGCCCGGGACAAAGCTTCATCCATTTAGCCCCAGGTCACAGCTTCATCCACTCCGCCCAGGCCACAGCTTCATCCACTCCGCCCAGGTCAAAGCTTCATCCACTCCGCCCGGGTCAAAGCTTCATCCATTTAGCCCCAGGTCACAGCTTCATCAAATCCGCCCAGGTCAAGGCTTCATCCACTCCGCCCAGGTCAAGGCTTCATCCATATAGCCCTAGGTCATCCATTTAGCCACGGAGCACAGCTTCATCCACTCCGCCCAGGTCAAGGCTTCATCCACTCCGCCCAGGTCAAGGCTTCATCCATATAGCCCTAGGTCATCCATTTAGCCACGGGGCACAGCTTCATCCACTCCGCCAAGGTCAAGGCTTCATCCATATAGCCCTAGGTCATCCATTTAGCCACGGGGCACAGCTTCATCCACTCCGCCCAGGTCACAGCTTCATCCACTCCGCCCGGGACAAAGCTTCATCCATTTAGCCCCAGGTCACAGCTTCATCCACTCCGCCCAGGCCACAGCTTCATCCACTCCGCCCAGGTCAAAGCTTCATCCACTCCGCCCGGGTCAAAGCTTCATCCATTTAGCCCCAGGTCACAGCTTCATCAAATCCGCCCAGGTCAAGGCTTCATCCACTCCGCCCAGGTCAAGGCTTCATCCATATAGCCCTAGGTCATCCATTTAGCCACGGAGCACAGCTTCATCCACACTGCCCAGGTCAAGGCTTCATCCACTCCGCCCAGGTCAAGGCTTCATCCACTCCGCCCAGGTCAAGGCTTCATCCATATAGCCCTAGGTCATCCATTTAACCACGGGTCACAGCTTCATCCACTCCGCCCAGGTCACAGCTTCATCCACTCTGCCCGGGTCACAGCTTCATCCACTCCGCCAAGGTCAAGGCTTCATCCATATAGCCCTAGGTCATCCATTGAGCCACGGGGCACAGCTTCATCCACTCCGCCCAGGTCACAGCTTCATCCACTCCGCCCGGGTCACAGCTTCATCCACTCCGCCCAGGTCACAGCTTCATCCACTCCGCCCAGGTCACAGCTTCATCCACTCCGCCCGGGTCAAAGCTTCATCCATTTAGCCCCAGGTCACAGCTTCATCCACTCCGCCCAGGCCACAGCTTCATCCACTCCGCCCAGGTCAAAGCTTCATCCACTCCGCCCGGGTCAAAGCTTCATCCATTTAGCCCCAGGTCACAGCTTCATCAAATCCGCCCAGGTCAAGGCTTCATTTACTCCGCCCAGGTCAAGGCTTCATCCACTCCGCCCAGGTCAAGGCTTCATCCATATAGCCCTTGGTCATCCATTTAACCACGGAACACAGCTTCATCCACTCCGCCCGGGTCACAGCTTCATCCTCTCCGCCCAGGTCTCAACTTCATCCACTCCGCCCGGGTCACAGCTTCATCCACTCTGCCCAGGTCAAAGCTTCATCCATTTAGACCCAGATCACAGCTTCATCCATTTAGCCCCGGTCACAGCTTCATCCATTTAGCCCCGGTCACAGCTTCATCCATTTAGCACCGGATCACAGCTTTATCCACTCCGCCCGTGTCAAAGCTTCAACCACTCAGGCCAAGTCACAGCTTCATCCATTTAGCCCCGGGGCACAGCTTCATCTCCTCCACTCGACACATATTCTTCCTCTCAACCCAGAGGCCCAGAGGCACAGCGGTAATGGAAGTTAATTAATAGTCACAAGGTTTGAAATATTCTTAATATAGCAACAGGTGTATCGGGCAATAAGCCTACCGGAAACCATGGCATCGAGATCGGATGTTGGGTACAATTAGCAACACACAGTGCTGACATATTTATCGACACACGGCAGGACATATATAGATAAATCGACACCAGGTGTTGATAGATTCGGATACCTTAATAACTGTTTACCTTGACAGAGACCAGTAGTGGGTAAACTTGGGGTTCTGGGACACTCCCTACCTAAGTTATCCCTCTGGGAAAATGGTCCCTTCACAATCCGTAGTGTTTTATCATAACATTCTCACTCTTATTGTTTCTGCGTCAATATTAGATCATTCTGCTATTGCCAGCGCATGCGCAGTAGTGCTGCAGTCACCTCTGTATCCGACCTGAGAGGGCAGGTTGGTGCCAGGGGGGCGTCCATAGCCGGTGAAGGAACCGAGGAAACCCAGAGGCTGGATGGAGCCGGTGCCGGTGCCCTGGTTGGCGGAGTCGCATTCTGGAACCTTGCAGCACTGGGGGTCTCTCTGATCAGGCACCAACTTGCAACCAAGAGGCACGTTGGTGAAACTTGGACACCTGCAACCGATCCATTATCATTATGATTGGGCATCATTTTATTTTCGGGATTAAGGTGGAGTATGGTGTTGGTGTGGGGGTCTAATAAAATAAAACCAAGTCCATGTTTTACTAAGGCAAGCAGATGTCCATGTAAGAGAGCCTGCGTGAAATTCACACTGTCCATGCAAACAAATGAGACCTGGAGAGTTTGTGGACACATCTCAGTACAGATTATCGCTTTTAGCAATATTCAAGCAATATCACGGCGGGGGACACCAGAAATGGGCTTCACACATTGTACCCATGTCGGGAATCGAACCCGGATCTTCGGCGTGACGAGCGAACGCTTTAATCAATGGGCTACCCGACCGCCCTTATGGGACGTGAAGATCCGGGTTAGAATAGGTCTTCAGCAACCAATGCTTGCCGTAAAAGGCGACTAACGGGATCGGGTGGTCAGGCTCACTGACTTGGTTGATGCATGTCATCGTATCCCAATTGCGTTGAGCGATGCTCATGGCGTCAGTCACTGGTTTGTCTGGTCCAGATTATTTACAGACCGCCGTCATATAGCTGGAATAGTGCTGAGTGCGGCGTTAAACAACAAACAAACAAACAGTACAGATTATCGGTTATCTGAACTCATCCTACAGATACCTGTACCTTTGTCGTATACAATAATATATACTAATACTGATACTAATATACTGCTCCACAGTTGATAGGGATATTTTATTTCATATCTGATTATCCCTACCAAAAAACTTAAGTATAACAAAACGGTACAGTCTTTAAACATTTTTTAGTAGGATGCCGCCAGAGGATCGAATCACCGACCTTCTGCTCCTCGGCAGGCCCCTCCAACACACAATGAAGGTGGTTCGATTCTTTGGAAAATACTGATCGATAAATTCCTTGACCTGCAATGGTGGAGTTACTGGTACAGGTGAGAACTGTCCTACCTGTCCGTGCACTGGTGGTAGTTGTTCTTAGCATCCTCGCATCTGCAGGTGAGAGTGCAACCGTCGCTCCATTGCTCGCCCTGGCGGTAGTACAGGCCCTTGTACACACAGTAGTCTGAAACACACAGCACATTGAAAAGAAATAATATAATAATCATATAAGCATATTAAATTTAACATCGACACTCCTCTCATTGCTAGAGACCGCCTCCGTGGTCTAATGGTAGAGCGTCCGCCCGGAGAGCGGAAGGTCCGGGGTTCAATCCCCAATCGCGTCATACCAAAAGACGTTAAAAGATGGTACTTGTTGTTACCCTGTCTGGCGCTCGGCATTAAGGGGCTAAAACAAGGACTGGTCGGCTCGGAGTCAGTATATTGTGTCTGAGTGGGGTATTCATGTTGAACTGCGGCATGGTATCTCAGTGAGCTAGCACTATAAATCGGCCTCAGTCCGGACCAGTACAAGCAGCCACACTCACACGTGCATGCACGTCGCTATATAAGTGCAATAATCTTGGACGCGACGTGAAACCCCATTTCACCTCACCTCATTGCTAGCATGTGATATGCGCTGCATGGAGTCAAGGTATACCTAACCGGAAATCAAGCATCAGTACTTCGTGATCATTATTACCAGATACTTACCCACGCCCGGCTGGGGGGTGGTGACGGCGAACAAAGGTTTGGGCGTGGTCGCCTGCTGGGCAAAGTTGCATTGATAGGTCTTGCAGCAGCTGTCATTTGGGTCCGTTATCAGTGAACACTGGGCTGGGAGGTTCTGGAACTGTGGGCACCTGGAACACACGCACATGTTACCATGGAAACATGGACAAACTTGACACAAACACATACATGCCCGTCTTTAGTTTCGGATCAAATTTCGGATTAATGCGGATTTAAAATGTTTGAGACACAAGAACCATTTTACCTGCTTAATTTACTAGTTATTAAATTTAATATAATTATTATTATTAGAATAAAGCTTTGCCAAGAGTTGAAGAGTTGTTTTGTTTTGTTTACTGATTTCCTCTGCCGTCAGCGATATCCAACTCTATCATGCCAACTCTATCATGCCAACTCTATCAGGCCAACTCTATCAGGCCAACTCTATCATGCCAACTCTATCATGCCAACTCTATCATGCCAACTCTATCAGGCCAACTCTATCATGCCAACTCTATCAGGCCAACTCTATCAGGCCAACTCTATCATGCCAACTCTATCAGGCCAACTCTATCAGGCCAACTCTATCATGCCAACTCTATCAGGCCAACTCTATCAGGCCAACTCTATCATGCCAACTCTATCAGGCCAACTCTATCATGCCAACTCTATCAGGCCAACTCTATCAGGCCAACTCTATCATGCCAACTCTATCAGGCCAACTCTATCAGGCCAACTCTATCAGGCCAACTCTATCATGCCAACTCTATCAGGCCAACTCTATCAGGCCAACTCTATCAGGCCAACTCTATCAGGCCAACTCTATCATGCCAACTCTATCAGGCCAACTCTATCAGGCCAACTCTATCATGCCAACTCTATCAGGCCAACTCTATCAGGCCAACTCTATCATGCCAACTCTATCAGGCCAACTCTATCAGGCCAACTCTATCAGGCCAACTCTATCAGGCCAACTCTATCATGCCAACTCTATCATGCCAACTCTATCAGGCCAACTCTATCAGGCCAACTCTATCATGCCAACTCTATCAGGCCAACTCTATCAGGCCAACTCTATCATGCCAACTCTATCAGGCCAACTCTATCAGGCCAACTCTATCAGGCCAACTCTATCAGGCCAACTCTATCATGCCAACTCTATCAGGCCAACTCTATCAGGCCAACTCTATCATGCCAACTCTATCATGCCAACTCTATCAGGCCAACTCTATCATGCCAACTCTATCAGGCCAACTCTATCATGCCAACTCTATCAGGCCAACTCTATCAGGCCAACTCTATCATGCCAACTCTATCAGGCCAACTCTATCAGGCCAACTCTATCATGCCAACTCTATCAGGCCAACTCTATCAGGCCAACTCTATCAGGCCAACTCTATCATGCCAACTCTATCAGGCCAACTCTATCATGCCAACTCTATCAGGCCAACTCTATCATGCCAACTCTATCAGGCCAACTCTATCATGCCAACTCTATCATGCCAACTCTATCATGCCAACTCTATCAGGCCAACTCTATCAGGCCAACTCTATCATGCCAACTCTATCAGGCCAACTCTATCATGCCAACTCTATCAGGCCAACTCTATCATGCCAACTCTATCAGGCCAACTCTATCAGGCCAACTCTATCATGCCAACTCTATCATGCCAACTCTATCATGCCAACTCTATCATGCCAACTCTATCATGCCAACTCTATCAGGCCAACTCTATCATGCCAACTCTATCATGCCAACTCTATCATGCCAACTCTATCATGCCAACTCTATCATGCCAACTCTATCAGGCCAACTCTATCATGCCAACTCTATCAGGCCACGGCAGCTGCATGTAAGCAATCCGAGTTTGGGCAAGAGTTTCCAGTGGTTGATATTATGAGCAACGCCCCGGGTCGTCGGGGTACGATGACACACAACCAGCCAGGTCACCGAGCATGAGAACCATACGGACCTTCTCTGGTATTTCTTAGCCACCTGGATCTAATTTAGTATTTCTGAACCACTCGGATTGGTCTGGAATTCCTGAACCAACCGGATCTAGTCTAGTATTTCTGAACCGTCCAGATCTAGTCCAGTATTTCTGAACCACCAGGATCTAGTCCAGTTCTAAACCGCCCGGATCTAGTCTGCTATTTCTGAACCGCCCGGATCTTGTCTGGTATTCCTGAACCACCCTGATCTAGTCTGGTATTCCTGAACCGCCTGGATCTAGTCTGGTATTCCAGAACCACCCGGATCTAGTCTGGTATTCCTGAACCATCTGGGTCTAGTCTGGTATTCCTGACAAACCCGGATCTAGTCTGGTACTCCTGAACCACCCGGATCTAGTCTGGTATTCCTGAACGACCTGGGTTTAATCTGTTATTCCTGAACCACTCGGATCTAGTCTGGTATTCCAGAACCACCCGGATCTAGTCTGGTATTCCTGAACCACCTGGGTCTAGTCTGGTATTCCTGACAAACCCGGATCTAGTCTGGTATTCCTGAACCACCTACGTCTAGTCTGGTATTCCTGAACCACCCGGATCTAATCTGGTATTCCGGACAAACCCGGATCTAGTCTGGTATTCCTAACCGCCCGGATCTAGTCTGGTATTCCTGAACCACCCGGATCTAGTCTGGTATTCCTGACAAACCCGGATCTAGTCTGGTATTCCTGACAAACCCGGACCTAGTCCTGACCTGTCAGTGCACTTGTAGTATCCGGTGTTGCCGTCGATGCAGGCACACTTGTACTGGCATCCGTCCGCCCACGTCTGTCCAGCCTGGTACGTCTTGCCATGGTAGTGGCAGCCAGCTACAAACAGAGCAGGGTCATCCGTAATGGCCGAAGACCAGTGGTCAAGACGTCATTAAGAGTAAAACAAATATTTACGTTCGAGAAATGCTGGAGGGACGGTGTTAGCGTATCGCCGATTTAGACAGACGTGTAGTTCAATTTACGGCGTGGCAGCGTTAAGGCAGCATTCTACTGGCTGTGTAAAGTGAGTGAGTGAGTTGGGTTTAACGCCGCTTTTAACAGTATTCCAGTTATATCGCGGCGTGTCAGCTTAATGTGGAAGGAAAGCCCGAAGTGATGCAGGTCTCAGACGTTTACCACTTCGGTGAAACCCACGAACACGGGTATGGTGCTGACAAACCTAAAAACATAATTGTGACTGTGTCAAACGACTTAAATTCATTTAATTTATCGTTTGTGTAGTATCTGTCTAAACTTTAAAACGTTAACCCGTAACGAGACCATAGTGTCAAAGCAAAAATCACCGCTTACCGTAAAAGTTGAAAAAAAACGTGTTTCGCCTATTGGCGCTGTAAATCTGTTTTATATATGTCAGACATTATCGGACAATATTAAAACATTTATTTATTCCATTCAAATCGATAATTAAGTCGATGTGTACAGTTACAGACTGAGACTTCACGACTGATTTATTTATTTATTTATTTATTTATTTATTTATTTATTTATTTATTTTATTTTATTTGCAATTAATGTACATATAGGAGATTTATTTATTTATTTATTTATTTATTTATTTGCACTTAATGTACATACAGGAAATGTTGGGGCATTGGTATTGGTTTACCTGTGTTTCCCGTCAAAGGAGCCTGTGTCTGTCCCTGAATTGGTGGCAGTCCGGTTCCGGAGACTCCTGGTCCGTATCCTGATGGATAAACAGCGGGTCCATAGCCTGTGAATCCCGGGCCATACGTCGGGACTACTGTAGTTCCGGCCGGTGCGCCGCTGCAGTCTGGGAGTTGGCAGCATGGGTCGTTGGGCGTGTCTTTCAGAACGCATCCGCTTGGCAGACCCGTGAAGCTTGGGCATCTTCATTGGTCACAGAGAAGCAATCAATGTTATCAATGCCTCCGAAATTATTCTTATTAGTATCCAATATATGATGAGAAATAATTTTCAGTAATAATAAGTAATACTGAGTGACGTGACCCTTGAAGATCCGGGGTAGAATAGGTCTTCAGCAACCGATGCTTCCGTTAAAGGCTACATTGCTGGTCGTAAAAGGCGACTAACGGTATAGGCTGGTCAGGCTCGCTGACTTGGTTGATGCATGTCATCGATCCCAATTGCGTGGATCGATGCTCATGATGTCAATCACTGGATTGTGTGGTCAAGGCTCGATTAAACAACAAACAAACAAAAACAGATAAAACTGAGTGACGTTGCGTTACGTTCATATTGGATGAAATGAAATCATAATTATTTTAACTATATATACATGACATTGTATATTCCAAAACTGGCTTCAACAGGAGATATCGCTTAGGTGATATCACATACCATAACTCGCTCGAACTATCGCTACAGTGAAATTGCATCGCGATGCTTTGCAGGTCATCTCTTATCTGACACTGAAGCTGGTTAGCTGTAATTGTTACCCTGAAGATACTGTTTACAAAAGAAAGAATGATTTCGAATGATACATAGAGGTTATCACGCACATGTGTTTGGAGATGATAAGATCCTAATGGGAATAAACATTATATTTAGCGAGCCTTGGCGAGGTAAATACATAGTGTTTATTCCTAATACAGGTATGTACCACTCCAAACAAACAATCGTGATAACCTCTTTATTATATAATGTCGTTCTTCAATTCTGTGCTCGAAAAATCTGTTCCCATCTCTCACAAACATACCTTAACATTGCAAGTTTTCCTGGAATAAGCGCATTAATATTATATTCTTTCAGAAGGTAAGTGATGTGTCAGTCGGACAGTGACAACAGTCAATATAGTTCCAACTGAAACTGATTTCTTATACAGTGGCGTAACTACACTTAAGCTAAGCTACACTTGCAGACACAAATTGTTTCTACTTGCCTTTCGCGGCAATCCATCAGTTTGTCGGCTAGAGTAACTTCCCTTTATCAAATAAATTTATTAAATAATCGAGTCTGGACCAGACAGTCCAGTTATTGACATCATGAGCATCGATCCACGCAATTGGGATCGATGACATGCTTCAACCAAGTCAGCGAGCCTGACCACCCGATCCCGTGAGTCGCCTCATCGACAAGCATAGTCGCCTTTTACGGCAAGCATGGGTTGCTGAAGACCTATTCTACCCCGGAATCCTCACGGGTCAGTCGCAGTTCCGGACAACCCCAAGTGAGTGTTTACCTTGGCGAACAGGTGAATCTTCCTGAGACTCCGTCGTCACATGAACAGGAGTAATCACAACCATCCGTCCATCTCTGACCCTGTTTGTATAGTGTCCCCTGGTACATGCAGCCAGCTGAAATATACACACGAAACTACATGTAGACAGACATCGGAACATGCAGCCAGCTGAAATATACACACGAAACTACATGTAGACAGACATCGGAACATGCAGCCAGCTGAAATATACACACGAAACTACATGTAGACAGACATCGGAACATGCAATCAGTTGGAATATACACACGGAACTACATGTAGACAGACATCGGAACATGCAATCAGTTAAAATATACACACGGAACTACATGTACACAGACATCGGAACATGCAATCAGTTGAAATATACACACGGAACTACTCGTAGACAGACATCGGAACATGCAATCAGTTGAAATATACACACGGAACTACATGTGGACAGACATCGGAACATGCAATCAGTTGAAATATACACACGGAACTACATGTAAACAGACATCGGAACATGCAATCAGTTGAAATATACACACGGAACTACATGTGGACAGACATCGGAACATGCAATCAGTTGAAATATACACACGGAACTACATGTAGACAGACATCGGAACATGCAATCAGTTGAAATATACACACGGAACTACATGTAAACAGACATCGGAACATGCAATCAGTTGAAATATACACACGGAACTACATGTAAACAGACATCGGAACATGCAATCAGTTGAAATATACACACGGAACTACATCTCGACAGACATCGATATGGAGCGCATCAGAACGATGCCCCTTCTCATGCGTGTATCTATCTATAGGTGGTTACACATGGAACTTCACCAAGCGTCAACATTTTGTGTGAAAGGATGTCATGACGTTTATATTACCCACCGAGTTTCTGAGGAGCCAGGTATGGACGAGGGGTGGGCTGCTGTCCCGGACCGGGGGTAGGTTGATTCGGGAGGGTCGGGACGGGGTAGGCACCGAGAGACCCGGGGGTGGTGGACGAACCCACGAATGAACCAGTTTTACAGGTCATGACCTTGCAACACTGTCCCTTGGCCGTCTCCAGGGAGCACCCTGGAGGAATGTTGAAGTACTTGGGGCACCTGCAGGAGACGCGGAGTGTGAGCGAGTGACTGATATCAACGCTTCGTGTAATCAGATAAAGATATACTACTCAAAAGATGTTAGAGACTAGTAATACAACTGTTACTACTGATACGATAACTACTACTGCTTTTAATAGTTCTGTGGCTACTACTGTTGCTCCTACGACCACGGTTGCTCCTACAACTACAACTAGTACTACCACTACCACGCCTACAACTACAGATGCTACCAAATCTACCACTACTACTGCTTCTGTTTTACTGCTGCTACTACTTCTACTAGTATCCGTGACGATCTGGGTTAGAATATGGTTTAGCAACCCATGCTTGCCGTAAGAGGCGACAAACGGAACCGGGTGGTCAGGCTCGCTGACATGGTTGATGCATGTCAGCGTATCCAAATTGCGTGGATCGAAGCTCATGTCAATCACTGAATGTCTGGTCGAAACTCGATTATTTGCAGACCGCCGTCATACAGCTGGAATATTGCTGAGTGCGGCGTTAAACAACAAACAACAAACCACAGTTGCTCCTACACCTTTACAAGTAGTACTACGACCACCTCTACAACTACAGTTGCTACCAACACTTCCACTACTACTACTGCTTTTGTTTTACTGCTGCTGCTACTTCTACTACTACTACTACCACCACTACTACCACTACCACCACTACTACTACTACTACTACTACTACTACTACTACTACTACTACTACTACTACTACTACTACTACTACCACCACTACTACCACTACCACCACTACTACTACTACTACTACTACTACTACTACTACTACTACTACTACTACTACGATTGTTACTGCTACGACTACTATTTATAAATCTACTACTACTACTACTACTTTAACTGCTGTGACTACTGCTACTTCTATCAGTTAACTACTACTACTACTACTACTTTAACTGCTGTGACTACTGCTACTTCTACTAGTTAACTACTACTACTACTACCACTTTTCAAACCATAACTGAAGTACAGTAAACTACGGTTATAACGAACTCAAAGGGACTACTAATATTAGTTCGTTATAACCGTAGTTCGTTGTAAGCATATATACAGTATAACTACAGCAAATAATCAGGACCAAAAAAAGTAAGTTCGTTATATCCGTCAGTTCGTTATAAGCGTGTTCGTTATAACCGTAGTTTACTGTACTAGACTTACGCATTATTGCATCTGTAGTATCCGTATTTGGCGTTGTCACAGAAACACTCGCCGTTGCATCCGTCGGTCCACCGCTGCCCCTGGGTGTAGTTGTGTCCCTTGTACAGACAGAAGTCTGGAACAGAACACACAACGTCAGTACAATAGGGGGAGTCTATCTAGCACCCCTTCCACAGGCCAGCAAGATTCATCACATCTCATACAGTCAAGTTTCTTATTTCACTTGTTAACAGTCTGCGCATTCAGATCAACATATGCCATGAAATGTTCATTGTGAGGTGAGGTGAAATTGGGTTTATCGTCGCGTCCAAGATTATTGCACTTATATAGCGACGTGCATGCACGTGTGTGAGTGTGTGTGTGTGTGTGTGTGGCTGTTTGTACTAGACCGGACTGATGCCGATTTAAAGTGCTAGCCCACTGAGATACCATGCCGCAGTTTAACATGAATACACATATCAGACACAGTGTACTGACCAGTCCTTGTTTTAGCCCCTTAATGCCGAGCGCCAGACAGAGTACCATCTTTTAACGTCTTTTGGTATGACGCGGCCGGGGATCGAACCCCGAACCTTCCGCTCTCCGGGCGGACGCTCTACCACTAGACCACGGAGGCAACTATTTGCATATGCGTATTTATCCTCTGTGATTGTGTGGCTCTTTGTCCAGATATCGAAACTTTGGTCACTTTGATGTGTAGTGAGTGAGTTGGATTTAAAGCCGCTTTTAACAGTATTCAAGTTATATCGCGGCGTGTGTGGTTGGTGCGGGGGGAAAGCCCGAAGTGATGCAGGTCTTAGACGTTTGCAGAAGAAACCCCCGAGCACGGGTATTGTGCTGACAAACATGGAAATATAATCGGGGCGAACCGGGATTCGAACCACAATCATAGGTTTCTGACTTTCATGGGAAGAAACTCTGCACATCGAATTCTGGTGCCTAAGACCACTAGGACACCTGTGCCCCCACGTTGATATGTGATGATACGTACTCATACACCTCACTGTCGTCGTTTTAGTGGGATATCTCTGTGCAATTATTATGTGATACAATCAGTTAATCGCACTGACAGACTTCCATTATCATCACCTAGTCTGATTTCAATATTAGCGCGTTTGTTTATAATCAAGAGAAACGTTCGGTCACGTTATTTGAAAATTAGCTTGTAATGCCAAGCCATCAGTGCTCCAGGCAGTGAAGCCTTCTGAATTCTATGTACGTTTCAGAATCGAGACCGCGAACCTCTAAGACTTTTGTTTGTTTGTTGTTTAACGCCGCACTCAGCAATATTCCAGCTACATGTATATGACGGCGGTCTGTAAATAGTCGAGTCTGGACAATCCAGAGATTGACATCATGAGCATCGATCCACGCAATTGGGATACGATGACATGCATCAACCAAGTCACCGTGCCTGACCACCCGATCCCGTTAGTCGCCTCTTACGACAAGCATAGTGGCCTTTTACGGCATGGGTTGCTGAAGACCTATTCTACCCCGGATCTTAACGAGGCCTAACATCAATGAGAAAAACGTAGTCATTGAGTTTGGTTTTACGCCGTTTTGAATACCAGTTGAACCACCACGTGTCAGCTTGGCGTGATGGTCTCAGACGTTTATAACTTCAATGTAACCCGCGAGTACGGCATGGTGCTTACAAACCTAGGAACATAAGCGTATCAAATAAATGCTAATTTAAATCATATTCCAGTGGTTACTTACCATTTGGTCCAGGGAGATAGGCATCCACTGAAACAGTAAGAAATTTGTTTGGATGTCATGTCATAATTAGAGAATAACCAACGGGCTACGAAGAATCAGACATTCCTAATTACGAGTTTCGATTGGGTTATTCTATTTATAACACACTGACATTTCAAGAGGCAGTTAAGAAAAAACGTATGAAATGTCAACCTTACAGATAAATTTCACTGCCTTTTGTTCAGATGACGTAATTCGTGACGTCATGAACAATGGCCGACGTCGTGAACAATGAATAACGTATCGTACTTTCTAAAAAATGAAACACTGACGCCGTATGGCTTCAATTGACCAATCAGCATTGAGATATGCTAAAATCCACATATGGGAGTTTACCGTACTCACTATCACTCTTCTCTTCTCTTTTTTGTTTCATAAATTCATAACAGATTTTTTAAATAAATGAGAACGTCATGCCCATCTATAGTAATGCTGGGCATGAAGAGAACCCGCCATATTGTACTCACAACACAAGTTGCAGTGTTTGCGGCAGTTGTCCATAGCCCAGCGCTTATACTTGGTGCATGCGTCAGGAGCATATGAGTTGCAGTTGCTCTGAGTGTCCACACAAGGCCCCACGGTCGTCAACGGCATTTCTGTAATAAACGACAGAATAGCATTAGATGGGGATAATATATTAATGTCAGTGTCACGTTTAGGCGTTTACTCTTTAATACTTGCTTTGGGTGCCCAGACCGAACATTTCACAACATAATAAAACAATTTTTGTTCCAGTCGAATCTTTTCAGTGTGAGTGAGTGAGTGAGTTGGGTTTAACGCCGCTTTTAACAGTATTCCAGTTATATCACTGCGTGTGCTTAATGTGGGAGTAAAGCCCGAAGTGATCAGGTCTCTGACGTTTACCACTTCGGTGAAACCCACGAGCACGGGTATGGTGCTGAAAAACCTAATAACATAATTGTGGCGAACCAGGATTCGAGCCCACAATCATAGGTTTCTGGCGTGCCCAAGGGACGCAACTCTGCACAGCGAATCGCGGCGCCTAAGACGACTGGGCCACCCGTACCCCCCTGTGCAGTGTGAGGGCGATGGGATCGAATTGTGATAAAATTGTTCACTCCCCAAGCAGATGGTACGGGTTCGATTCCCATATGAGTACAATAAGTATGGTCCATTTGTTCCCGCCGTGATATTGCTAGAAGATTGCTCAAAGCGGCGTAAAACTATACTCAGTGGTTATCTTTGTTTGTTTGTTGTTTAACGCCACACTCAGCGGTATTCCAGCTATATGACGGCGGTCTGTAAATAATCGAGTCTGGACCAGACCATCCAGTGATTGACATCATGAGCATCGATCCACGCAATTGAAATACGATGACATGCATCAACCAAGTCAGCGAGCCTGACCACAGAATCCCGTTAGTCGCCTCTTACGACAAGCATAGTCGCCTTTTACGGCAATAATTGGTTGCTGAAGACCTATTCTACCCCGGATCTTCACGGTTCGGTTAATCTTTGATGTATCCCTTTGAGCTGACATTCCCAAGAAGAACTTGTCCCAGTTAACCAACTTAAACCTCCAAATTACCATTGACTGATTCATTTACAACAAATAATATAATAACTCACTATCTCCACTGCCACTGGTTGTTCCCTGGCCTGTGAAAGATCCCACCTGAGTGTTGAACTCGCAGTCGGGTTTGGCGCAACACTCGCCTGGTTTCGTTACCAATTTACAGCCTTTGGGGAGCTGGCCGTACTGGGCACAGCTGGAAAAAGACGCTTTGATGAAGAACAAAATGTCATAGTGTAAAAATATTATAACAAACACGGGGAATGATGTGTTTATTTGAGGGTAAGTGTGTACAGAGAGCTGTGGAAGTGACGTCATAGCCGCAATCAAGATCACTGACGTCACATGTTTGTGACATGGTAAGCATATTTCAGTGTTGGCTACGCCGTAATACAGCTGTAATATTTGTCTGCTGTGATATGTGTATATAATAAAGTATGATTCTGACGACTACGCCGTGATATAGCATTGACACTGACGACTACACCGTGATATAACATTGGTACTGATGACTATGCCGTGATATAACGTTGATACTGACGACCACGCCGTGATATAGCATTGATACTGACGACCACGCCGTGGTATAGCATTTATACTGACGTCTACGCCGTGACATAGTTATGATATAGGCGACCATGCATTGAAATACTTGCTATCATATAATACGCCGTGATATAGCTGGAATGATATTGACATCATGCTTTAGTACCAATGACCACACGCCTTGCTGTAACTATGGCAATTCCAGACAGCCGCGATATAATGTTGGTGACTACATCCACACATTCCATTCACTATCTCCGACAGTCCGGGTTGTCGTGTCGTGTTACTGAATACAATTGTACTTACACACTCTGGCAGGACCACAATCCGACCCCGGCGTCCTCGCACTTGCACTCGAACTCACATCCCACCTGCCAGGTCTGGCTCTGGTAGTACTGTTTGCCGCCGTATTCGCACACCTCTGTGAGGAAACAAACAGCGTCGGTCCATGTAAACAACCATATGCATCAGAACGTGTTGGGGGGAAGTCGGCAGTATACAGTTAGTTATAAAATATATTAAATCTCCATAGTTTGAATGTTATCTACGGAAGCCTTTAAGGGCCATTTGTTTTTTATATTTTGTATAATTTCAACTTAGAATCTTGAAATTTCAAGGTACATAAGTTTAAATTTCGAGATAATAAGTTGAAATTTCAAGTTAATATCTATGCCTGAGGGATGAGAGAGAGAGAGAGAGAGAGAGAGAGAGAGAGAGAGAGAGAGAGAGAGAGAGAGAGAGACTATGGGTAGTTTAATGTCTGTGTTATTGATGCACCGTCTCGTCACTTCTTTATCATGTCCATTTAACCCAGTATGTTCTTAAAATCTGTCGTTACATGTATAACTGGATATATATTCACAACACTCGAATGATGTATTTATAACTTAACTTTATAATTTATAACGTGAGTTGCAATAAGATGAACTCAATATGCCCTTATAACTCAATGAGCATCAATAACTGATTTGTGAACTTCGTGAAAACAAGATATAGACTCAAACTCGACATGTAACTAGCACAGCAAACTACTGTTATAACGAACTCAAAGGGACCACTAATTCTAGTTCGTAATAACCGTAGTTCGTTATAAGCATATATACAGTATATATACAACAAATGGCCGGGACTAAAAACTAAGCTCGTTATATCGATCAGTTCGTTATAAGCGTGTTCGTTATAAACGTAGTTTACTGTACTCGAATTGTAAGTTCTTCTGACGGTGCAACAAAATACTTACTGTTTCCGTTAAGATTGCCGACGTTCTGTCCGGATGTGGTCTCGTATTTCCCGTCGAAGTCACAGACCGGCTGTAGACAACAGGAGCTGTTCACCCTCACCAGGGTGCACTGAGGGGGGAGGTTGTAATAGGCGGGGCACCTGAACGACACCGAAACATGTCACTGAGTCAAACACTAGCTCAAACACTAGTTCAAACACTAGCACTAACACTAGCTCAAACACTAGCTCATACACGAGCTTCCTGGTCACAGAAATTGCAATTTTTTTCTTTTTAATAGAAACAAAGCTATTTTAACCAACATCTTCAACGCCACAGTCGTACATATATCTCTATTCAATGTCCCATTACCAACCACCCCTACCATCTATCCCGTGGGAGACTAGTTCAGATTTTGTCCCCAGCAACCTATGATTGTCTAGACGGCCATACAGACCCTGAAACCAATATATACAATATAGCCCATGTAAGTCTATAGTAGATGGCAAGTCCAGTCCAGATTACTGCAGTATCTGAAAATGAACAGAGCCTCATGGCTCCTTTTTATTATATTGTAATAAGATAATGTAACAACCGTAATCCGTAAAATATTTTATTTTAGAGACAGTGAACGTTATTTGTCCATTGATTGGCGTACGAGACTAAACGTTTGTTTGTTTTTGTTTAACGCCGCACTCAGCAATATTCCAGCTATACGACCGCGGTCTGTAATTAATCGACTCAGGACCAGACAATCAAGTGATTGATAATACGCGCATGATCAAACAAGTCAGCGAGCCTGACCACCTGATCCCGTTAGTCGCCTCTTACGACAAGCATAGTCACCTCTTACGGCAAGCATGGGTTGATGAAGACCTATTCTACCCCGGATCTTCACGGGTCTTGTTTTTTTTGTTAGAAATGGGTTTGTTGACATGGCAGATAGCGTGTCAATGTACCCCATTGGCGTCGATCGCTGTTCATCAATCACTGGTTTGTCTGGACTAAATTCGATTATATAAAAAAATAAAAGCGACAAAATCCTTTCCATATTTGTACGAAATCTCTGCTAAAATTCGTCATCGAGGTGGAATATGGATGATTGCAGGGGTAACTAAATTAACAAAGATATTCCATTTCCTGAATATCCAGCAGTGAGTGTTCAGTTGATAATTTAGGAATGAAAGAGTTTCATTGCTCTGAAGAAATCAACGAATTCATGTCAAATCTTGATTTGATCGGGTAAAAAGTTCAAAGCAGTGAAACGGACTTGTATCTCCGAATTGGCACTATGATGCCGACTTTGAGGGTACGGGTGATCAAGTCACCTAGGGCGCAGCAATTCGCGATCCCTAGATGCGTCCCTAGGCGTGATCGTGGTTTCGAATCCCAGATTCGCCCTGGTTATTTTTTTGGGTTTGTTAGCACCATGACCGTGTTAGTGTGTTTCACCTAATTGATAACATAAGTTGTAGCAGCATCACGAGGGGTTCATGGGGTTTCATGCGTCCCTCGTTAGGTTTTATACCACTAAAATATGCCATTGTGAAAGAATTAACACAAATTCAAAATTGATTGAAAACAGTGACTCGGAAAATGCATGTGGTATTTTGCTTTGAAGCGGGGTACGAGAGATTTATTCTGCCTCTGAGAAATCCACGTACAGCCTGTGTTGCTCGTGGCGGGGTATACGAGATTTATTCAACCGCTGAGAAATGTATTACCCTTCATTACACAGTATTTTATCAAGATCATGTGGACCAATCAGATCTCACCATTCTGACATTGAGGTATGATAGTTTTAATTATACATGTATGGAGGGTGTAGTATATTACCTGTTGTAGCAATTGTACTGTCCATGGGAGGCGTCGGTGCACTCACACTCGTACTCGCAGCCATCCTCCCACTTCTGGCCCTGCTTGTACTGGCTGCCCTTGTAGAAGCACGTGCCGACTGCAGAGGGGGTATAAAGGAAGGGTTAGTGGGAGCTGACAAAGGATGATCCTACTGGCCACTTAAAAAGGATGACGTTTATTTTTTAAAAGATTATGTTAGTAACTTTTTATTGATAAAGGGAGGTTTATACCTTACTGTTGATAAAGAATGATGGGTAATTAATTTTTCATAAGGAATTATGTATTTTTGTTGATGATGATGATTGGCATCCGAAACAGAGTAATTTGTAAATTCAGATGAAGACGATATTTCATCTGTCACAGTGAATGGTGGACTTTTTTTCAGATCACCTTAAGTGACCGAATTCTAACTATCACTTGGCATTATACTCACAATAGCCAGTCACGGCCTTCGCGTCTGAAAGAATGAAAATCAACATGACTTGTGACACAAAAGAGTGCAAATTATTTACATGTAAGCATGAACCTGATCAAAAAGGGCATGTAACGTATATGATGCTAGCAACAACACCGGTAGTGAGTGAGTGAGTTAATATTTAACGTCACATCGGTAATATTTCAGCCATATCGTGACGAGAAGTTATTCATTAATAATATATATATTCAGACTAAATAAAACCTGTCATTGAAGGACAGTACAATAACTAGAATATCACAATTTCGATTTAAAACTAGCTGAGAACATTTATTAGCAGAAGGTATTAGTTAACAACACAATATAAAAATGGGGTAGAGATCGTCAGTAACTGAAGGGAGATCACCATACTAGGGACCATGGGGACTTACAGTACCTTTGCTTCCTGCATGGACCCCAGCGGGATTTATATCATCCCTTCAGTCACTGGCGATAGTTACCAGGTAAGATAAAGATTAAAATGACAAACATTCTACGTTTAAAAGTCTGGCATGCACAAAAATACTTCGAATGATGTGGAACTTACACCCTCTTAGGGGCTACTTTAACCCCCTCGAGGGTACCGCCACACACCGGTAGTGATCACATATAGTTTGCTGCTATGCTTTGCCCCAGAAGCCCTGTGATCAAACTCTTATAACCCATAGTGAGTGAGTGAGTTGGGTTTAACGCCGCTTTTAACAGTATTCCAGTCATATCGCGGCGTGTCAGCTTAATGTGGGGGTAAGCCCGAAGTGATGCAGGTCTCAGATGTTTACCACTTCGGTGAAACCCACGAGCACGGGTATGGTGCTGACAAAACTAGAAACATAATCGGGGCGAACCGGGTTTCGAAACCACAATCATAGTTTTCTGGCGTTCCCAAGGGACGCGACTCCTTGCCCAACGGACAAGGGGCGCATTAGACGACTGGGCCACCCATGCCCCCTGATTCACAATGAACTTTAAAGTGTAAATAATAATACAAGAGCAGTAGATAAGCCCTGTGAAGAACCTGGTTAGAATTGATCTTCAGCAACCCATGCTTGTCGTAAAAAGCGAATGACGGGACTGGGTGGTCAGTCTCACTGACTTGGTTGATGTATGTCATCATATCCCAATTTGGAAGATAGATGCTCATTATGTCAAACAACAAACAAAGAAACACATACCACAATATCCACAGTATTTCCTGCAGTTGGTCTTAGCCCAATTGTCATAAGGTGCAAGGCAGGACGTGGGAAGGTAGGACTTGCATTTGTCCAGTACATCTACGCAGGGAGCTGGGGTAGATGGGATGGACGCTGAGGACAGAAGCAGCAACGATGTTAACAGAAGTTTGCAATGGAATTGAATGATTTGTAGAAGACATTAAAAATAAATTATCTGATAGATGTAAATGTGTTGCAATATGTACATGGATACGTCTTTCTGTGTCACGGGTATATATTCACATAAATTTTACTTTACATCACATCTAAACAAATACATACCTTCCAAACTATTGTGAACTGTTTTCAGTTAATACGTAAGACTTCATTATAGCCTACACTACACCCAACAGTTTGTTTCCGTTTTCTGCAATAGATCTGAATAATAAGCTGCAAATATATGGAAAGAAATGAAACTAAATTAAATATATTATTTCTGAGGAGCCTCCGCGGGAATTTTGCGAAATAAAATGACTTTTGTTTTGTAGTATATCTTGAATACACTTCTGCAACAACCGATTTATCGCGTGTATATTTTCTTTTGACATCGCGACGTGCCGCAAGGTGGACCGACGTACCGCGAATATACCGCGCTCGCTTCGCTTTCGCTTTCGCTGTATATCTCTACCGGATAATGAAGTTGGATGACTCGCGTTTCACAGCGGAAGGAAGTTGTGCATTGTAAACAACACGCAATATAAGAATAATTGTGTAAGTCTGGTCACTTACGTGTACAAATATGACATGTCCTCTGACAGTTGACCTCGGACCATTTCGTGAACTCCCTGCATACTGTGTCGGGATAGCGGTCACAGTCGGTTATAGCGTCCTGGCAGGGGTCGATCAGAGGACCACTTGAGGAGGATGCTGCAATGGAGATGTTAGATAACGGCATGTGTTAAGCGTCCCCTACTGTTTGGGGACATTACATTGGTTCAGAAAACATACCGTACACATTCAGATGAGAATATTCGTATATTCCATAATTCACCTGATTAGTTATAATTTCCATTTTAGTGAGAATATACTACATATATCTAAATAAGGATATTCTTATATCTTATAATCATTCAGATCACTAATGACATTTTTGTTATGAAAATATATGAAATATATAAGAATATTGCAATATTCTAGGATTTACCGAATTAATACGTAAATACGTGACACTTTTTGTGGATATAAAAATGGATAAAAAGGAGTTGCTATCCATAAAAAAGTGTCATGTATTCATGTTCTCCCAACTACTAAAAGACTTTAATAAATACGTGCTATACATATTAAGATACGAATATTTTCATATACTCAAATAATAATGATAATACTTACAATTTCCAGAAAACATACTACCCAAATTTAGATAAGAATAATTATTCCATTTACCAGGGCGTGGCTAATTATTCATAATTTGTATATAATTAGCCCGACAAGACTTCTATATCACAGAATACATATCCGGGGTGTATGACAAGTGTACAAGTGTACCCGAATATTGTATGTCAGACCCGTGTTTATAGAAGAAGAAGAATATTTATTGTACAAAACACCCACAGGGGGCAGGGTACAAAACATGAACATGATTAATTAAAACATTGACATACAAAACAGAATACAAATATTGCTATGATTATATTGTTAGGAAGGAGATGCAGATTTTCTTTGCCTGAACATTTTGTGAATGAAATTAGAGTTAATTTTTGCAAAGGGCTCTGGTGGATTTAAAAGTATTTTTAGCTTAGTAGGTGCAAAGCAAAGCCGGGTGATGAATTTAGTTCCCCTCTCAGATTTTTGTAGAGAGGGCATCGCAACAGGAAGTGTTCCTCATCTTCTGTTTCATCGAAATCACAGAAGGCACATAATCTTTCTTCTGTTGGAATGTTGCAGTATCTTCCTCTCTCAATTTGAAGGTCGTGAGCACTGAGTCTTAGCCTTGTAACTGCTTTGCGGTGTTCTAATGTGGTGGTTAATTTTAGATATGGTTTAATTCCGAATTTGTCTCCTATATTCCCGCGGTGTCTGAGCTTATGTCGTTTGTGGAATTTATATGCTAGAGGAATTGGCACAGAACACTGACGTTGGCGTGTTGTGGAGAGATATTGCTGTCATATGTTTTCTAACTTAACCTTCTGGAAAAAACCCGAGTGTATGACTATATATACATGTAGCAGGTCAACTATATAAGACCGAAATGAATGAATTATTTGTTTGGAGGCGGTGTTGTTATACAGTCTTGAAATCCTGTGAATCGCAGGAAAAATAACGTGTAGTATGATGGAATAGATTCCATTTTGAAAGTACATATAAATATTTATGTCTCGATGCGTGCGACACTCATACATTTGCCAAGAAAAATAACTTTTCAGCCCTCAAAAAATCCTACAGGTGTTCTCTTTCGCCTTATCCTCTTTTCAAAGAGATGTAAAACACGAGAATAAATAGTCACCGTGGGATATAATGTGAAAACACATATATTTGCTAAATTCAAATAACATTCAGCTATGGATTGTGGTATTTTGTGGAAATCCCTACAGGGTGATGTTGTCACTAAATTGGATGTTTCAAACCACTTATTGGATTCTTCCTGACAGTTTACAAATCGTGACATGACACCTACATGCATTTCCTCTTAGGATGTTACTGTCCCAGACTTTGAGTCTGATACGACCTGACCCGTGAAGATCCGGGCTAGAATAGGTCTTCAGCAACCCATGCTTGCCATAAAAGGTGACTATGCTTGTCGTAAAAGGCGACTAACGGGATCGGGTGGTCAGGCTCGCTGACTTGGTTGATGCATGTCATCGATCCCATTTGCGTGGATCGAAGCTCATGATATCAATCACTGGATTGTCTGGTCTAGACTCGATTATTACAGACCGCCGTCATATAGCTTGAATATTGCTGCGTTAAACAAACAAACAAACAAACAAACAAACAAACAAACAAACACACTTTAGATCTGGTTGGGGTAGAAACTTACGTGTTGGCACGTATGGCGCGAGGCTTGGCGGGATCACTGAAACCAAAAAATAATGATTTGGGAATTAACTTTCGTTTCAGCAGTAAAACATATTCTGAAATAAAACAGGTCACGGTGAGGTGAAAAGGGGGTTAGCGTCGCTTTTAAAATTGTCGTACGCATTTAGCGACGTGCATGCACGTGTGTGTGTGGCTGCTTACACTTGTTCGGACTTACGCCGGATTTATAGTGCTAGCCCACTGATATACCATGTCACAATTTAACATGGCTACTCACTCAGTCACAGTATTCCGAGGAGACTAGTCCTTGTTTTACCCTCTAATGCCGAACGTGGGGCAGAATAACGATATGATATGTGATACATTCGTGAGCGTCATCATATGACAAGAGTGAATGAGTGAGTGTGGTTTTACGCCGCTTTTAGCAATTTTCCAACAATATGCTCGGTGAATACCAGAAGGCGGCTTCACACAATCTACCCATGTGGAGGATTCCCCCGGGCCAGAGGACGCTTTAACCACTGAGATACCCCATCGCTTTATAAAAAGAAACTTTTTTCACGATACAAAATTGAAAAAGATATTGCTTTCAAGACAGGTAATCAGCAGAAATTCTATGGTGCTTGGATGCTGTATCATAACCTTTGGAAAATGAGGAGCAGCTTTCATTTTAATTTTAGTTTTATACTTAAGTCATTAATGTTAGAGACCGGGTACTTTTCAGCACTGGAATATGATATATAAGCTTTAATATTTAATGCATACTTGATATATGAAGTATATTTGTATTACAAGAATGAATGTGTGAGTGAGAAGTTTGTTATATCCGTAAACAGATCTAAAATGTACTGATAAGTGCTATAAGTCATTGGCTTTCTGCTACCCTGGGCGGAAGCCCATTTTATATAACAGGTACTTCTTTTTATAAACAATAAAAGAAAAAAAGATACCCCATCGCCACCTGTGGAACTGTCTTGCAATGACGGAAACATACCTGCGCATGCCTTCTTGGCGAACAATGCCTTGATCTGGGGCAGTTTGCTGAAATCGTCTACAGACATCACGTGGGCGGAGTCAGGGTCGGATGCCATTTCATTCAACTCCGCCATGGAGATACCTGCAGACAAGAAGCCCACATCAGTGACATATACGTGGGGTCTGAGCGGGCAAGTAAACTGCCGGGCAAAAGGAAGTAGGCAATTGAACGTTGTATTTAACCCCAAATAAAATTACAATCTTTATCAAGACGTTATTAGGCTGAAAACATTTGCCGAATCTTAACTTCCAAAACACAACCATGATACCCTTATCATATACATCATCATCATCATCATCATCATCATCATCATCGAATAACCATTTCTTGTTTGTTTCATTTTTAGCCACCATAAAAACAAGGGCGTATACTCCCTTTTGCCAGGCAGTTTATTTGCCTTGATGCTTCTTTTGTTTGTTTTGGGGTTTTTTACGCCGCACTCAGCAATATTCCACCTTTGTGACGGCGGTCTGTACATGATCAAGTCCGGACCAGACAATCCAATGATTGATCTCATGCGCATCGATCCACGCAATTGGGATACAATGGCATGCATCAAACCAAGTTAGCGAGCCTGACCACCCGATCCAGTTAGTCGCTTCTTACGACAGGCATAGTCGCCTTTTATGGCAAGCATGGGTTGCTGAAGATCTATTCTACCCCGGATCTTCACGGGTCCTTGATGCTTCGGATTGATGAGGGAGGCTAATGCTGATGGGCCTTTGATAGACAAGGTATGATGCATGATCTGCATTTGACCATAAGAAAGCAGAAGCTGTTGCATGGCAAGACCATTTCTCTTTCGTGGTGTTAAACACATGTGAATCAAATACGGTCGGTTTCCCGTAGTGCACGCATAGAATCCCTGGCCCATTTCAAAACGAGATCGTATCGTTACGATTGTCGTAACTCCCATTGACTTTAATATATATTTACACAAGACGAAGAGCTATGGCCGCTTTGTGAAACGGGCCCATGATGTAACACACTTTTTAAAATACATAGCATAGTTAACAAACATTGTCAACTATTGTGTCTGTTCACGTAGTCGTTGCGTACTAAACGGATGCAAATGAAAATGTACCAATGTACAAAATCTGATCAAGAACATGGATATGAATAAAAGCAGCAAACCCCATTCCATGTCATGAATACTCCACTAAGGTGTTAAACGTGTTAAACGTGTTAAACGTGAAGTGAACTAGATCATCCGGTCCCGTTCCGCAAAGAGATCGCCACGACTGTCTTAAGTCTTTGTGAAAGTAAGGGAGTTACGATCGTCTTAACGCTACGATCGCTTTGTCGAACAGGGCCTTGGCTTGTAATGTACCTTTCCCGACACCAACAGAGAACACCTGCGTTCCTTTGTCTCGTGCAGCCTTAGCAAACGTCTTCGTTTGGTCCGGCTTGTTGGATCTGCCGTCGGTGATGATGATAGCGATGTTGGGGACGCCTGGGCGGTCGCCGTTCTTCGTGTTGAACATGTTGTCCTGGAGATACTTGAGAGCGTCGCCGGTGTTGGTGCCCCCTGAGACGTACTTGATGTTGGTGACGGCGTTCAGGACGTCCTGCTTGTTACTGTACTGGTCCAGGTGGAACTCCAGATAGGGCCTGCACGATGACAAGATGCAATGTTAAATCACCCACCACCAAAACCAAACGACAAAAACAACCTTAAAACTTTCAAGCCTCTTTGGACCTAGAATAATGCATAAAACACTTTGTTCCAATGGGGCACGGGTGGCCAAGTCGTCTAAGACGCCGCGATTCGCTGTGCAGAGTTGCGTCCCTTGGGCACGCCAGAAACCTATGATTGTTGGTTCGAATCCCGGTTCGCCCCGATTATGTTTCTAGGTTTGTCAGCATCATACCCGTGCTCGTGGGTTTCACCGAAGTTGTAAACGTCTGAAACCTGCATCACTTTGGGCTTTCCCCCCACATTAAGCTGACACGCCGCGATATGACTGGAATACTGTTAAAAGCGGTGTTAAACCCGACTCACTCACTCACTTTGTTCCAAATCTATGTTATTCATAAACCAACACAATTCAGCGCAGTCTAACGCATTCCATAGCAATGTAACGCTATCCAACGCAATCTAACGTAATTTAACGTTATGCAACGTAATGCAACGTAATGCAACGTAATTCGACGCTATTAAATCAATCGGCATGAGGACTGTCGTAATAGGGAAAGTTTGTAATGAACGTTCGTCCCATTATCTTTGAAAGCTTGGAAATAGTAATTTCCTCCAGTGCTTACAGTGAGTGAGTGAGTTTGGTTTAACGCCGCTTTTAACAGTATTCCAGTTATATCACGGCGTCTCAGCTAAATGTGGGAGGAAGGCCCCAAGTGATGCAGGTCTCAGACGTTTACAACTTCGGTGAAACCTACGAGCACGGGTATGGTGCTGACAAACCTAGAAACATAATCGGGGCGAACCGGGATTCGAACCCACAATCATAGGTTTCTGGCGTGTCCAAGGGACGCAACTCTGCACAGCGAATCGCGGCGCATTAGACGACTGGGCCACCCGTGCCCCCTCCAGTGCTTACGCTTTGCTTTTACTGTTGATATATATTTCTTTCGATGCATGTTGTGATGTCGTGCTCGTCATTGTTGATGTACTACTGGAATGCGTGTTTTATCAGAGGCAATAAAAAAAGACTGTCGTTCATAAGAAACATTGAAGGCTACTGGCACAGATCTGAAGATCATGTTTATCAAGACACTATACGAAACAAAGGTGAGGTGAGGTGAGGTGAGGTGAGGTGGAGTGAGATGAGATGAGATGAGGTGAGGTGATGGTTTAATGTCACGTTCAAGATTAATAAATAACGACGTGTATCCCAGTGAGTGTGTGATGTCATCACCGGGTTGTCTGGTCCAGACTCGATTATTTACAGACGGCCGTCATATGCATGTACCTGGAATATTGCTGAGCGAGGCGTTAAACAACAAACAAACAAACAAACAAACAATAACTTGTAGTAGTCCGATGACATATAGTGATATCCCACTGATTAGATACCATACCACGTGATACCCCACTCAGACACATTACAGTGACTCGAGTCAGCCAGTCCCTTGTTTTAGTCCATTAATGCCGAGCGTCAGGCAGGGTAACAACAAGTGCTATCTTTTCAACATCATTTGATATGACGTGACAGACGCCCTATCCACTCAAACACCCAGTCGGTACCAAAACTCATATGTCATGAAGCCTTTTAATATTTAGTGTTCATATTTGAATGAGTGGCAATTCAATTTAACTTTTCAATGAATTCAATAAATTTAAAAATATATCTCGTTATTTCCTACATTATACGTACAGGGTGCTTAACAAAAATGGTTCCACATTCAGTCTATACATGAAAAGCGATGGTAAGGTGAGGTGAGGTGAGGTGAGGTGAGGTGAGGTGAGGTGAGGTGAGGTGAGGTAATGGTATTTGACGTCTATGAGATGGGTTTGAGTTAATGTAATCACCTGGAGCTGAATTTTTCCACGCCGATCCTGATCTTGTTTGAGGCAACGTCGAAGTCTTGGACGATGCTCTTGACGAAGGTGAGGAGGAGGTTGAAGTTGCTCGAGCCGACACTGCCAGAGGAATCCAGCATAAACACGATGTCGGCCTGAGAGCCACACACTGAAGAACACAAGGGGACGTTTGTATATATTTGGGCAGGCAACTGATAGGGGAATCATCATCATCATCATCATCATCATCATCATCATCATCATCATCATCATCACATCATCATTATTATTATTATCATTATTATTATTATTATTATTATTATTATTATTATTATTATTATATCCGGGGTAGAATTAATATTAAGCAACCCATGCTTGTCGTGAGAGGCGTCTAACGAGAACGGGTGGTCAGGCTCGCTGATTTTGTTCATGCGTGTCATCGTATCCCAATTGCGTAGCTCGATCCTAATGACGTCAATCACTGGATTGTCTTGTACAGACTCGCTTATTTACAGACTGCCGTCAAATCACTGGAATATTGCTGACTGCGGCTTTACACAACAAACAACAAACAATCTAGCTATTCGATTGGTCGCTGGCCGAGCTGTACGGATATCATGACGTCATAATTTATTATGGGACGCCATTTGCTTGTCACGTCACAATAGACCCCGGATCTTTAAGGAATTATGATAACAGCACATACTTACACTTCGGTAAAGGCGTGGTCTGGTCCGGTTTAGGTTTGGCAACTGCGGAACAGAAGAACTTTGTAAGTGATATGAACATTCATAGTAAATAGGCCTTTCCATATTTACCAGACAAAGCTCATTTATGTCTTGTGTGAATGCATGTACATTGAATCACAAACATGTTAGTATTTAGTATTTCACTAAAAGAATTATGCTCATATTACAATCATATTATTTAATTTCAAATAAGCCGATTTAAAAAAAAAATAATAATAATTTTGTGAGGAGTAAAAGAAATATTGTTTGACTTAATCATTTATTTTCTAAGATTAGATTACCGTAGTCCTATTGAAAGGCAACTAGCTTTCAGTTATTCAAGTAAACATTTCACTATTTAGGTGTGTAATTTTAGTAAATATATCTGTGCTATCATACATGCTTAAAACTCATAATTGCTATGATCACAGGAAATGTTTGAATTATGAAAGTTCAAAGTAATAATGTTGATAAGCGTTGAATAATTACATATTTGACAGATTAGTCTTTAAACTGAATATACAACAACCCACTTGACAAGACGGACCAGATATTCTTGATACAGTTGTAAAACTTATTGGAGTGCAAAAGAAAATCTAACGCTAAATATGGCTTACTATCTAGCACAATCTATTACCATAATCTATGCGAGAAACGTAACAATTGCTCGGCAGAACTTGAATTTGAAATTTGAAATTCGATGATTTTAAAAAATCATATTTGAAATATCTTTGGGGTCCAGATTTATTTAAATTAATCATCACTATTCTTGAAATCGTGAAAGAAACATGCTCACTTTAATTTTGTTTTGAGTATACCTCACCTTCGCATGCCTTGGAAGCTAGAATGGCCTTGAGATTCTTTAGGGCATCAAAATTGGCAGCTCTGAAGACATACTGACTATCGGGGTTGCTGGCGATGTTGTCAAGTTCCTGGTTGTTGATGCCGTTACCGATACCAATAGCCATAACTTTTACCCCCTGACCTTGTAGCTTAGCACCGTTGGTCTTTGTGAGAGTTCTCTGTTGCGAGTTGCCGTCAGTAAGAACGAAGGCAATATGTGGGACATTGTCTCTCATTCCAGCAGCTTTCGTGAAGCTGTGGCTGGAGAGATAGTCCAGGGCGTCGCCGGTATGGGTGTTGCCGCCATGGTATGAAGTTTTGGTAATAGCAGCCTTCAGTGCCGTCTTGTCAGCATATTTGTTCATGTCGAACTGATGCCGGGTGGTAGACGAGAACGTTTCTAAGCCGATCTGGACGTCGTGTGGGCCAATAGAGAAGTCGTCAACAATCTGGTTCACAAACGCGAGCATCTTCTTGTAGTTGTCTCTCCCAACACTTCCGGACTCGTCCAGGAGGAAGACGATGTCTGCCTGTGCGCCACAGTCTGTGGAAGACACATACGCCATGTAAACACGACTTTATGATGAATATAATACTAGATACAGTTGCAGGCGACGTTTGAATCACAAACCACCAAAACACCATCTTCCCGAGGCAAGAGCGTTAACTGACTTTAAAAGTCCAGTTTCCACCCTTGCCGAAATAGGCTGGAATTCCTGGGCTCGATCGTAGCGCCACCAGAGTTATGTCCCTTCTGTGCCTCTCCTATTGACCAATCAGATTTCACCTCTCGTATCAAACAAAATGGCGCCACCAGTCAAGACGATCTGATCGATAATCAAGATCTATATTGTGATAAAACGGATCTTACATCGCGGAGTGTATCAAATCACGTGAGCTCCTTGATTAAAAACATGAAAAGATTTGGAATATATATGTTGACACCGAGTTGGCAAATCTTGCAATCGACCGAAATCTGCATGACAGTTTATATATATAATTACGAACCGGATTTCGATTCATTGAGCGATTTTGATTGGACTATGCATAGACTCGTTAGTCCAGCCAAAATCTAACTCCATAATACCAGCCCAGTTCGGCAAGGGTGGAAACTGGACTTATATGGTCAGTTAACTCCCTTGTATCGGGAAGATGCCAAAACACAGAGGGAGATGCCCACAGAGCAGTTCAGTCTCCCCTCCATGAGGAATAGACAACTCAAGTCACCTGTTACATTAAGATGCTTTTAGGTTCAATTAGCATTCACATTACTATCCGAATCTACCGGGTACCCATTCGTCGCTGAATGAATAGTCCCATTTCGAACAAAGTGTTTTTAGTTTGCTTTGGGACACCGGTCTGTGTTTTAGTAGATACATTCTTGAATATATTTGCAAACTTTTCCATGAATCGGAATTACTGTTCCGTAAAAGTTGTACTACAGGCCAAATATTGCACATTGTCTTAAAATAATATTCGTGGACTTTCTGAACATGGTAATAACTTGATAACAGATGTGTACTATGAGCTGATATGGTAATTCATTGTTGTCAAATGTTAACACTGTGACAGCAATGTTTTCTAATATACGAATTATACTTACTTGGTTTTGCCGGTGCGGGTGTGGTGACTACAACTGTTGGTTTTACTGGAATAAAACATATACTAATT